TGGGGTAATACATCGAAAAATGGTCTAAAACAATTCTGAGTGTGCCTATTGACTTGGGCTGCTGGTGAAGCTTTCCTGATAGACCATATAAGCACTATCACTGAGTACTGATTACTGAGAGTTGTTCAAGATTGTATCAGTTGACAAAACCACTTCGGGCCACGAAGCGGCTGGGCGGAGCTTGCGCAGCCCTGGCGCGGCAGTGGCCCGCCTGCATCAATATTACTTTGTAGGAGGTATGGTCAGAGTTGAAAAATACTACTAACACCTGTCGGAGACTGAGAGTATTATCCTTTGAGTCACTGATCTCGCTTTCATACATGGTCTGCATTGAAGTGACTTCTTAGTTCTCTGTGTTTCTGTGGTGTAATGAGAACTCCAAGAGAACTCGCATGACTTTTTCATGTACGCGTGCCATACAAATAAAACAAGAGGACGTAGGAACGGTTGACGATTTAATAGAGGACAAAGGACCAGGTCGCGCCCGGAGGGCAATCATATGGCACTTGGAGGAAGATGTTGCTTGCCGGAACGGTCTAGGCTGTCGCGTGCGTCTCATCATCAGAATATTGGCTCGACCGTCTCTTATATCTCCGGAACCTTAGGTAACCCTAGCCTACCGTACCCTATCCTACCGTAGCTGGCGTACCGATCGGGGCCTAAGTATAAGCCGCTTCCGTCTCGCAGCGTTCGTTCTTCTCCACTGCGCCTATAAAATACGCCACCTTTCTTAAATAATTCGTCTCTTGAACCCTGACGACATCCTTTTATCGCAAAGCTTGTCTAGAAAAATAATCCACGAGCTTCGTAATTTTATATCGCTTTATAATCGAGGTAGACCTCAACATTCAGGAGTAGGCTATGGCGCAGTTCAGCTGGCGAACCATCTCCTCTTTCTCGGTTCTTTCGGTAGTCGTTATCTTTGTCCTGACCTCTGGAATTTGGAGCGAAATCTATGGAAGGGTGAGCGATGCTCTTAGCGGCGGGCACAAAGGTGTGTCGCGTACCCGTCGAACCATTGACACTAGTCTGATCCCTTCGCTCGCGTTCTGCAGTCCCAGATTTTGGGCAGTTCACCCAGGTGAAGACTTTAGATGCCCATGAGCTCTCTTTAGGTGTGTTTTACGGATCTCATTGGGGAGGAATAGAGGACGTATACTGAAACGTGTGTGGTAGATAAGCCCGGACACCGAGCGGTTTTCGTTGGAGATGTGCATGGCATGTCACAATCCCTTGAGTATGTCGTCTTTCCTTCTCAATCCATATACTCTTGTCATAAGGCGTCCATCTATCTTTAGGGCGCTTCTCAATGAGATTTCATTTCATCCAAAGAAGGACAAGCTCATTCACTGTGGCGATATCTGCACTAAAGGCCCCTTCGATGGCTCCCTCGCTGTCCTCTCGTACATGTCGTCCAACAACGTAAGTGGAGTGCGCGGGAACCACGACCAAGTGATCATTGAGTGGAGGGCCTGGATGGAGTGGATTCGTGGATTATACAGAGGACAGGGTAGAGATTGGTTGGAGATGCTGCATAAGAGGTGGGATGAGGCCGTTAGAAGACACGAGGAAGGTGGTGGGAGGGATGATGACGACGAAGACGAAATAGACGAAAGGAAGTGGATGAAGAAGCAACGGAAGATGGCGAAGAGATGGGAGAAGAAGTTCTGGAAGAAGGTGCCGGAGAATTGGGAGATGTTCGGAGAGGACTACCAGATTGCAAGGTACTCCAGCCAACTTTGTCTCATATCGTCGAAGTGATGCTAACCTGTCATTGTTATGCAGAAAAATGACGAAGGCCGACTATGATTATCTTGTGTCCCTCCCGCTCGTCCTCCACATACCATCCGAACACACCTTCGTCGTTCACGCTGGTATCCTCCCCTACGATCCTACCCGCCCCATAACTTCTGAACGTCAACCCCTGGCTCATCCTCCGTTCATTGGTTCTGTGCACTCCCCGCCACGTTCTAGCTTCGAATTCTTCTCGGCACAGAAGAAGGAGAAGCATACACTACCGCTGCTGAGGGAGGCGCAGGAGATATCCATACTGCAAGACATCAAGAAGAATAGGGACCCTTGGGTGCTGCAGAACATGAGAAGCGTGTTGAAAGGTGGAGAAATAACAAAGTATCTCTTTCCATTTTCTTCCAAGCAAGTCCCTGGTACTAACAGTGGGCTGTCCTATATTATAGGGATTCAAACGACGGCACGCCATGGACCGAGCTTTGGAACTCAGTTATGCCTCGCTGTTCAGGTTATGATGATCTAGAGCTCTCGAAGAACCGGGACAAGAGCTTGCCTTGCCAACCCTCGACGGTGGTCTACGGTCATGCGGCATCGAGAGATTTGGATCTCAACCGATGGACGAAAGGTTTAGATACAGGCTGCGTGCGTTCCCTTTCTCTCGTCTCACTGGCTACGTCTCTCCCAAAATCCTGACGTGTCGATCGTATCCCGAATAGGTATATGGCAGACGCATGACGGTGCTCATCCTCGATGCACCTCATAAACACCGTTCCAGTTCCACTGAGGGCCACGACGACGAGTACGAAGACATAGAGCGTGAAGATGTTCGCTTCGATGACCCGGGAACGACATTGATGAAGACCGCATTCGGAGATAATGGCAATGCTCACATTGTCAGCGTCTCTTGTCACAAGCACCGCGAGCAGAAACCGCATAATGGGAAAGACAAATCGCCTTGAGCTATCCTATTAGGAATAGAAAGCGATACAACCTAGGGGACGGAAATTTTCTTGGTCGATGATCTCTCGCAGTGGCTGGCGTGCGCAGGCGGCGCTTTGGGCGTGACTTTTTTATTGGTCACCGCAAGTTATACATAGTGTAGGATAAAGGCTTATGAAGTTTAATGTCTAGTGTACAGTAGGGTTTACAGTACTGTAAGTACCTTCGTTCTTGTAGATGCATACATCTGGTAGCATATCGTCTTGAATAGCACTTCATTTCTCCACGGTAAAGGTTGAACGCTATACAGTTCGCGTTCATGAGAGGCGTGCCGTTGGCAGGGTGACACTCGCAAAGCGCCAAGAGGAAGTCTGGTTTATACAGAATTCAAGGGATGGAACGACGAATATAGTCTTATGCTATCTGTACAACATGTCTGGCTCCTCCCTCAACGTTGACACCGAGTCTGTCAGTCCGATCGAGCAACAGAGTCGTGCTATTCCCACCATCCACCGTAACCGTATTTTCACTTCCTCCCGTCACATAAACTGTCCCATTCGTACCAGCTGGACCGTCAACCTCGACCGTCATGACTCCATCCGATATCGTCCAGTTCACGGACAAGGTCCCGAAGGGTGTGGACACTCGTCCCTCCGCTGATGTCGTATTCAACGGTTGAGGCGCGACAATCCACGTCTCGAACCCTGGCGACGTAGGTTGCACACCGAGAACGAAACGCGAGAAGAGAGCCGTGGGTGCTGAAGACCAGCCATGACACAGGGAGGTGTAGGCATCAAGGCCTGGCCCTCCTTCGGGGGACATTACCTCCCAGAACGTTCCTAAAGCAAGGCTGTGAGTAACAAGCTCTGACAAGGAAAAATCAAGGACGTACCGGTGTAGTTCTCGCGTGAGGTGTCTACCATAGTACCGAATGTCTTTTCAAGGATATATAACACATCTTGGTCACGCATATCCGACACGAGGAGCGCCTGAAGCCGAGGATACGTCAATGATGTCTATGCAAGGATGAACATCATAACTAACCTCAAGATGAAAACCGGTTATGAAAGGGCTGATGTTCGCCCGTGATCCAGCGTCTGCTGAGAAGGCGAGCATGCCATAGTCGGTTTTGAGGTTCTCGCTCATAGCGGTCAGAGTCGCCTGGTACACGCAGTTAGTGTAAGTCCCTCAACAAGGATCAAATTAACACAAACCTCTGTGCGATTCTCAGCATCAGCCACTCCTGCGATTATGGCCCACGAATTTGCATCTTGCGCCACACCAGGTACAATGTCCGTGTTCACATAGAATCCGCCTGTGGCGTTCCACAAATTGGAGTTGATAGCGTCGCGGATGGCAATTGACGCGTTCGCATAAGTTGCGGCGAGAGAAGTGAGGTTAAAAGCGGCAGCCATAGTAGAAGTTTGATTGAAGGCGAGGACGGCTTGCGCGTTCAGTCTGTGTATTCAAGGTGATGAGTCGAGCGAAGAGGATAAACATTATCCAAAGGTCGTTACTTACTTAGTACCTGCACCATAGCGTGGACCGTCGTACCAATCCCAGTCACTACCCAGTTTTGAGTTCGACTGAGGGTGAATGTCAGTCCAGGTCGCCACGAACTTGAATACTACGACGACGCAAGCATAACTCACCGTATCGATCCTGATCAGACTGTCATTCGTCCCCACTAAGCCTAGCAGACGATCTGTCTGGGCTTGGATATTACTCCAGAACTCCCCGATGAACGAGATATTCCCCGTGTACATATACGTGTCATAGAATGCCTGAATCCCGAAGATTTCATATGGCAAGGAGTAGAAAAACGCGGAGGGTTTGACTGGATAGGAGTCACCGAAAGGAGTAATAGGTGGTACGTCCGATGCTAGAGCCCCCGTATCACTTTGCCAGGACAAAACAAGAGCTAGGGACCCTGTGACGTATTTAGCTTCGGCGGTCGAGTAGAAAAGCGACGGTGCTGTAATCTAAAAAGGTGTACAAATGTGAGTATGCGTGATTAGAATAACTGCAAGTGAGTTCAGACGAACAGCAACGTCACCGATCCAAACTATTCTATCTCTTCTGGCCCCGTCAAGTATAGAATCTACCAGGTTACGCTGGACCTTGAAATCTGCCAACGCAGTCTCGTTCTTCAGTTCTGACTCGTATAAAAGCGTCCCGTTGAGCGTATCCGTAACTCGGACGGCGGTGAACACGCCTTCGGCGTCGAACGCGCCCCCGAACCCAAAGCTTCCGGGTACGACCATGGTCGAGACGTTTGTTTCGGGTACGGTGTAGTTCAAGATAGAAACACCATCAACAAGGACGCCAAATGTGGTATTGAACATGACTGTGCTGTATTGGTGGAAGTCGCCGTCGAAGAGCGTAACGTTGGGTAAAACCGTGGCGGCAAGAGGGTAGCTATAGAGGCCCGAAAAATCGGGCACAGAGTCAGCCACGGGGCCATAACCATAGAATAGCCCGATGTGTGTTTGGTTGAGCTGACTCGGGAAATATTCAGTATATCACAGTAAACAGGCACTGGTAGCACCTACTTGAAACTGCAAGCCAAGGCTCCCGGACTCCAGGACCTGCCACCCAATCCCACCACCGGTGATCTTCGCTTGGAACTCAAGCGTGTAATTGGACCACAGCGTGCCGTACAGGTTGTAAGATGCGTGTTGCGGCGGGATCAAGGCTCCATCATCTTGAAGCTTCGGATACCGTCAGAGAGTGGCAAGTTAGGAAAGAAAATGTAGCACAACGTACTATCCAATTCGGAGGGACGGACCCGGCTGGATCGCTGACCAACTACACGCAAAAAGTGAGACCTAACTATAAGGATATTCCAGGCGGGACTCACCTGAACCGTTCTCGCACCCGCCTCCCATATATCGGTAAAGAGGTCATTGCTGGACTTGAATCCACCCGGAAGGGAGTCAACGGGGGTGATGTCGGTTATTGACAGAAAACCGACGGCGGAAAAGGAGACATTTCCATCGGTAAGGAGCCAGATGCGCTGCCATCGTTGCGAGCCTTGGAGGTAGTAGTCTTGGACAGTGTTATTGCTGGTCGCGGCAAGATTGTATGTGGTTGTTCGGTTATTCTGCACGACATGGAGCATAAGTGGTAATCATGACTTCAAAACAAATTCTATGCTCACACTGTAGCCATTTGAATAGTCGACGAAGTCATCCCCTTCCGCAGACCATATGCCGCCAAAACCTGGGCGGCACGACAACACGTATCAGCATCATGTTGTAGGATCTCCTAAACACCAAGACATACCTTCGCTATATGTCGCAGCCATCTGCACGCCTTCGCCCTCTACACTGGCTAACCAGAAAGTAGGGAATCCACCGACATTGACGCCATAGTCGAGGACAATCTGTGCCCCTTTCCCGCTCAGAGTCGTCACAGAGGTGTTCGGAGCCAGCAGGGCATCAGCGTTCGATACCGACCCAGTCGTTGCGTTGATAGCTTTTGGGACGACATAAACTGACTGAGCGCCCACGGCCCGGACAGAAAGAAAGAAAGCCAACGAGATCGCAGACGCTACCGCCATGGTGAGACTCCCCGTTCTGCGACTTTTCAGGTGCGGAAACAAGGCGAGAAAATGGAAGGCACAACGTAAAAGTAGACCGGGAACGTTGAGGCATATTTATGCAACTAGCAATGTCGTCGGTGCCTATGCGATGTTCCTCTGTAGCCTGCTGATCGCTGCTGTATTATTTTAGCCATTTCCACTGAGAGCGAAGTGCTGAAACCAGAATCAGGCTCGAAGGGCTCGAGGACAGAGCATATGAGGGCGTTTGTCGTTGATGACGTCGTACGTCATGTTTTCTGCCAATCCGGGGCTGGTGACTGATCTGCTGCCAGCTGCTGCCTGCTAAATTTAATAAGATCATAACATGCTATAGAAAGGCAGATGATATAAGGGCCGGTGGCAGTTGTGATACCAAGGCGTATACATCACCTGGCCACTGTGCGACAAAGCCTTCGGCTTAGCCGACCACCCATTCTTTAACATTCGTCCGCGAAGTTAGCAGAAGCTTTCAGTGGGTACTATGGATGAACGTACCGGCATTTTCAGTTCCGCCGTGATCGATAGACGCGTCGGCTGACCTCCAGAGAATACCTATTTGATTATTTTGTGAAATACATCGTGAATGGTATGCCAGATACTTTGGGCACAGTTCGAAACTTACACGCCGTATCACGAAGGTTCAGTTATTGAGGGTGCCTGCTATACGTGTAGTCTTGCAATAACGTCGAGGCCTTAATCGTGTCGGTGACCGACCTTCAAGCTTCGACAGTCAATGCAAAGTCAAAGACTTTGACTCTGACTAGATCTTCACTGGGCCAGTCGAGCCACATGAAAATAGGCATACTACCAAAGAGAGTCGCGGCCGGATCAACACCGTGCACGCTGATGTGACTTGGTAATGTGTGGGTGGCACTTCTTGTTCTGAAGACAGCACAAGATCGTAAGTGCAAATGGGTTGTTCTGTAGAGCTCATGCACAGAATGGATTGAAGAACCTGACCCGAGCTCCGACTGGATCCGACCGGGGTCTGACCGGGTCAGCCACCAACACCAGCGCCACAGAGGTGAGAGTTCGGTCTGCTACAGAACTAGGGACCTAAATTTTTTGGGGATACACTGACCCCGTGCTGAAACATCGAAACAGTACGCACTAGAAATACAACAATGACGTGACGGTCATGCCTCCTCTAACAGAAACTCGCCAATGACCCCCTTCAACTTGTCCTCGTCCATCTTCTTCCGTTCCCATAACTCCTCGTCTAGTGCTCCACTCGACTCAATGGCGTTCAAGCCGAGTTGACCATCGTTGAGTTGACCTGGACCGGTGCTATGGCAAAGATTTGATGCGACCCAGACCGGAAGAGGAACAGCTGCCGATGGTGGTTGGCTACCAGTCGGTGTAGAGGTTCCTGTCTTCGTCGCCGATACGACCGAACGAGGGCTTTTGCTTGTAAGAGTCGTATGGCAAGAATAACAGAGGCGTGGGGTGAGAGTTTGTTGACGGGCTGCCGAGGGTGTATTCTCAGCGGTAATTGACCTGATAGATATTCGGGCCTTCCAGTCCTGGACGGTTCGTTGGGCGGGCCTTCGAACGGAGGGGATTAATTAGCTTACGCACAAAGGAAAATCTGAGGAAGATAACATACCTCTCACACAGCGCGCAATTTTCACCCTGTTCGTCCTTGGGTGCGAGTTTACCACACGTCCGCGCAATAGTCGAGACGGTGGATGGAAAGTCTTTTTCTAGGCCGACAATGAAGTCTAGCATGACGGTAGACATACTGGATCAGTACCAAACTGCATAGCCAGAGTGTAATGCCGTACCTTTGGTTAATCCGCCAACCGTTTGCCTAATACCGGGTAGTTTCTCTTTTCCAACTACTGGGAGCTCGTTCCACCATGCCCAGGCTGCGCACTCCTTCATCCCAATCTCTCGCAACGGTCGTACGACCCGGACCTCCCCTTTCCATTCCTTCTTCCTCTTTTTTCCCATCTCCGACGGCGCAGATGTGGCGGGAAGCTGAGTTTTTGGAAGACTCCACTCTTCGTACGACTCCTGCGGCACGACGAAACCTCCGCCTTGGGAAATTGATGATATGAGAGCAATAGACAGCGATGTGAGGGATGTGCCGAGAACGAGATGTGAAGATCCGGTCGATTTGGCGGTATAACACAGGAGGACGCGAACGAGGGTAGATATAGATGTCGGGATAGCGGTCTGAGTGGGCAGCGAGCGAAGATAGGTCTGCAGGGATGACAGGGGTGAAGGGGGAGATCCTGAAGAAGATGACGAAAGTGGAAGATCTATGTGCGTAGAGAATGAGACATTGGGCTAGGAGCTTTCCAGTAGTAAGCGCACCTTCGTTCGTGAGATCCACAGACAGACTGGCAGGCATTTGAGCACCGGTTGTTTTCAGCCACCAAGCAGGATCGAAAGCATCTTGGACTCGTAACGCGATGAACTCAAAGCCCTCATATCGTTCGACTGAACTTCGAACCATCTCTGTTCTGTCTTCCATCTGCAATCGCAATCACGTTGAGGTCGTATCGCATAGCTACAAGGAGAGTGACTCACTCCAGAAAACGCATCACAAAGCTCTACATAGCATACTCGAATCTTCTTCCACACCTTATCCTTTCTCGGATGCGATTTTCCTCCATAGTCATCCGTCGTACCCCGAGGAGCAAGGTAGGTTCTGTGTACGAGATCGAGTAGGACGGTGGAGCCCAGACCACCGGAAATGCCGACGAGGAGGTCTCCAGCAGGTTTGAGAGCCGAACGGCGAGGACCATCGGCTTGCAGATTTATATGTGGTTCGAGTGTCTTTCTGAACTTGGCAGAGATTAGAGGCTGAAAGCAGTTCCTATGGGGCGTTCCAAAGTGAGAAGAGTAATGCAAGGTCAGCTTGGTGAGGAATAAGACACACACTTGCAGTAAACAGCATGTCGAATAACGATGCTTCCTCCTGCGTCTTTGCATTTGATGCAATTTTTTCCCCTATCATACTTCGGTTTCCCTTAAACTATCATTAGTTTATGAGGTAGAAGATGATTAGGCAGAGACATACGAGGCATAAGTGTCTCCGCTGGATCGGCATCCGGATTTCCGCAAGACATGGTGAAGCGAGAGCTCTGGCAATTATCCGACTGAAATGATTTATTTTATGAGGGTGCAGTGCAGGCTATCTCATATGTATGTACTGGGTGGTAAGAAAGGTGGTGGCGAGGTGGTGGTTTGAGACCGTGAGAAAGGAAGGTGCATAAGTTGTCACAGAGATGACTACATCGGCCAAATTGCAAGGCTCGCACGAGCGCACGCGAGAGGCCGAAAGGGCTAGTAAGAGCCCAAATGGGCCTCCGGACGCCACTTTTCTGCGAGACCCTTGTATCTCTGGTGACGTTAGTGAATTCTCGCGAGAGTGGGCTGCTCTCGCGAGAGTGGGCTGCTCTCGCGAGAATAGGGACATCGTGCCAGAGATTCTGCTTGCCGCTGTATCGAGTGAATTCGGGCTTGTATTCCAGGCACGCACGGGGGTTTTTTTTGGGAAAAAAAGAATATAATATTATCTCAAAAGCAACCCGATAAATACATGAGTGCAGTGTGCATGCAGGAGCCACAATAAATCTCCATCCCGTGTAATGCAAACACCCTGAGCACCGGCAACCCCAGCGAGATACCTCTGGGGGTCTGTAGAAGTGGGCCGCCCTCGAAATATCGATATATGCTATGAAATTTAAATGATAAGCGGCCCGAAGGCGATAATGCCATTGTGCGGGCGTACCTTTCACACCGCTATAGGCATAGAGTGATCTGCGAGAGAATAAGTCAGCATGGAAATGGATGTGCTATAGAAAACATGCGACACACCTCGTGTGGCCTCGCAGACCCTGGATGGATGACAGAAGACGATAGAAAAATGAGAAAGGGTACCGATACCGATTTCTGTATAACAGCTGCTTGTAATCGGAGGCGAGACGACTGTGGAACACGTACGGTATGATGATGTCATTCAAGAACTCCATATACAACAATAGAACGACAGATGTCGTCGCTGCTCCTGGTGTATAGCGACCGGCGTACGAAAGGCAAGGCGGCATAAGAGCGAAGGTGGAGACTAAAGGGACCGAGGCGTAAACGGAGGAGAGAGAGAGGAGGAAGGGAGGGCGAGGGCGAGAGGGTAGAGAGAGAGAGAGAGGAGGGCGAGAGAGGGAAGGGAGGGGGGGATGGGGGAGAGGATGAGGTGAGGGAGCAAGGAGGGCGGGGAGGGGAGGGGACGAGAGAAGGAAAGGCCGCGACTTTATGTACGTCGCTCGAGCACAGGGGCGCACGGACCATGTTGTCGTCGGTCTATGACATCATTGCGTTGAGCTCGAGGGGAGGGTAGTCGTGAATGTCGGAGGTGAAGAGGTGAAGGGACTCGGAGGGAGCGGGCAAAGGGAGGCTTGAGGATAGGGGCAAACGTCGTCGTCGTCGGAACCATTTATTTTTAGCAAGTGCCTCCTCGGAAGTGCGGACTTTGACAGAACGCTCGCCTGCCTCCCAAGCTGCGAGAGCTTCTGCTGTCCAAAAGAGGCTGCTAGGATGCTCAGGTCGTCGTCAGCGCTTGCAGGAGGTAGTACGAGCGTGCGGCGATCGACAGCTCCGGTGAGTCGGAAGCAATCCGGAAGACTCCGCTAGAGTTGTGCGATTTCGCCGATGTAAGAGCATTGCCAGCGTCCGCGGCTCCTGCCGCCCTTACTGTCCCTGGCCCTATGTTCGGACAATTCCGACTGGGGGAGCGCTACCTGCGGTAGCAGCAACCTTGCTAGGGTCCTAATGGTGTTCTAAGCAAGTCGTACAGAGTAACCAGAGGCGTACGACAAGGCGACCCTCTATCGTGTCTCCTCTTCATAATCGCGATTGAACCTCTATCCTCAATGCTCCAGAACTCATCACTTCAAGGAATATCTATTCCTGGGGTGCAGCAGCCCGTCAAGGCCACACTCTTTGCGGATGACACCACAACGTATCTCCACTATGACGACTCATGGAATGATCTGCAGGAAATCTTGGGCAAGTGGTGCAGGGCATCCAAAGCAAGGTTTAACATCGGAAAAACAGAGGTCGTACCGATAGGTAGTCCAGAGTTCCGAAAGACAGTCATCGAGAATAAAAAGATCAATGCAAACTCACCTATTCCCAACAATATCAAAATAGCTGAGGAGGGCGAGTCTATCCGAATTCTGGGCGCATGGATCGGAAATCACATCTCACCGGAGGATGTGTGGACCAAACTGATTGACAGAATTGAATACGAGTTGTTTCTATGGGAGAATCGCCACCCAGACTTGATCGCCCGTCGGCATATACTGAACACAGTGTTGGTATCTACAACACAATATAAGACACAAGTCAATGGTATGCCAAAAGATGTTCTAAAGCGCCTCACAAAAGTACTTAATAAATTCATATGGAAAGGATCAGCTCCTATGATTAATATGGAGACACTGCAAAAAAGAATCCTGGATGGTGGCCTGGGCGTAACAAATTTAGAGAGGAGAAATAAAGCTATCCTGATGATGCAACTTAAACAGTACCTCACATTCGAAAATCGTCCAACCTGGGCCTATGTCGCTGATGCAATCATGGCAACCAAAATAACGGCTGCATCTGGAGAGATTGACTGTCTTGCACAAATAAATACCTTCCTCCAGCAATGGGATGTAGCTCGAACAAAGCTGCCACCAACAATCAATGCAATGCTAAAATTAGCAAAGGACACGAACCTCAGATTTAGCGTTCTTAAACCGTCAAAAGCACTTGTTGACAAACTTCCTGCATGGTTTCACTTCGGAGCAAAGCGTTTCCTCAAAGCCGCATCAAACACTCAAGCTGCAAAATGTCTGAGAGAGTTTCATAACGTGAAAATCATGAGCGACATCTGTCGAATACTGGATCGTCGACGCCAAATCCCGGGCCAGTCAATGGCAGACCGACATTACAATAGTAAGAACTGCAAATGCCCCTCGTGCAAGACGGACAGGAATAACGGATGTTGAAACCCCTATAAATGTTATAAAACAGCGGAAAGTATTAGACATGAAGTCGAGAACTCTAAATGGGACCCAATCCAGACGCCGAGACCGTCAGACAATCTGACCTTGACTCGTAGGAGAAGAACGGTCAACACTATAGCCAGGACAATTAATGGATTCATTACATTTGACCCATCAATCACATCGGATGATAGCCTAGCCCATGGCTTCAGAGTATTTACAAATCCCAACTCTCACTGCAGAGACCCGGCACTCCGTCGGCAAGGCAGGGTCCTACAGGATGAGGCAGTAACAGCGTACACGGATGGCTCTTGTCTGAACAACGGAGATTCGGATGCACGTGCTGGAAGTGGTGTTTTCTTTGGTCCAGAGGACGTAAGAAATATATCTGCACGTCTCCCAGCAAATGGGGCTGCAAATAACACCGGAGAAATCGTAGCGCCACTACTTCTCCTCCAGGGAGTTCCGGATTTTGCACCAGTAGATTTCATCACAGACTCGAAACTGGTAGTAGACGGCCTCGACGAACGACACCGAGAATGGGAAGAGAAAGGCTTCATAGGCACCCCAAATGAAAAAGAATGGCGAGGCCTGCTCGGGAAACTGCGATCAAGAGGAGCACCTACATGATTCAAGTGGATTAAAGGCCATAGCGGAAGCATCGGTAATGATGGTGCGGATAAACTAGCAGGGAAAGGCGCTGAAAAGGATGAAATTGATCAGATTGACCTTTCTGTAGACCCGAAATGGGACCTAAGCGGAGCGGACCTTGGAGCGATGACCCAGGCACTAGCATACCGAGCTTATATGGAACGAGCAAAGGTACAAGCCCGCCCAAAGACAACGGTGATGCTCAACACGATTAGGGCAGCCTTAAAAGAAATAATGCGTAGAAGCCCGTCAGATGCACTAATATGGAAAGCACTTTGGCACAAGGACTTTACCAGGAAAGAACGGGACTTCTTCTTCTTCATCGTACATGGCACATATAAAATAGGTGCGTACTGGAATAATATCCCAACAATGAACCATAGAGCGATATGTCAAAAATGCGGGGTGACAGAAGATATGGAACATATCCTCGTAAATTGTGACACACCAGGACAAAAGGAAGTCTGGCGTCTGACAGAGCTATTCTGGCGTCAGAAACTCCCTAGCAGGTGGATAAAACCATCAATAGGTTCCATCGCAGGATGTGCATTGATTCATTTCTCTGACCAAGAAGGTAAATCAAAACCTGGAGCGGATCGACTATACCGAATGTTGATCGCAATGTCGGCGAGGCTCATATGGAAGCTCAGATGTGAACGAGTAATAAGGACGGAAGAGGACCATTCTGTTCGTGAAATACAAAACAGATGGAGGAAGGAAGTCGACGTCCGCCTCCGTATGGACAGGGCCATGACTCACCCTCGTTTTGAGAAACAAGCACTCTCAACGAATGCGGTTCTCCGTACATGGAGCCGCACCATCATGAATGAAGAAAACTTACCGGACTCGGGGTGAGACTGTCGCGGGTTTTAGTGGGTATTTGTTTGCCGGAGCACTGGAGAGGTCCAGATAATAGACCTCCTCCGTAGCGGTGAAGGTAGACGCGAGCCCCACACATCGTGCGTAAAGGCATTTCCCGCAGAGGACTTCAACTTTCTGGTTATCATACACCATCTATTCTCAACGGACAGACAGGGCCAGCCGAGTCTGGTTGCTGTGTGTCATATCGTTCCTAAAACAAAAAAAAAAAAAAAAAAAACCTTGCTAGGGTCCGGGAGAGGAACGTTCCAACTGCCTCTGACTAAGCAACACTCATCCAAGGGTGGTGGGAGCCACGCACAGAAGATACCGACACTGCTAACCTCACACCGACAACAACACCACACGACAGTCACGCTCCTCTACTTTCCTCACGCCCAGAATGAACCCGAAAAGAGCCTCTAATATTACTGCGATCCGGGCATGTAACGTGAGTACAACAAAAAGACCCACAACGAAAGCGACACGACGACACATCCGTATAGGGAAGAGTACGTACGTGGTGCGCCCTCCACACAGCACCCAATAAACCAGCAGAGAATTAGAAACAAGAACACACCGAAACAACCCAAAAAAGCAGCCGAGAATAGTCGGCGAACAGCCGCACGCCCCCTCCTCACACCACACGAGCACGCTTCGAAGACGAACCGAGCACGAAGTCGTTGTCCTTCGTGGGCACCCGCTTCCTAGCCACCTTCTCAGCCAATCCCTCGACCGGAGGCTGGAGGACCCTGATCTTCACGACCTCGGCGACGAAGGTGTTGCTAGCCGGGCTGGGACCGCGCGCGCGAATATCGTAGTGATTGAGGGTGGCGCTAACGACGACCAGAGCGCCCTTGAGGGACGACTCGTAATCTTTGGGCATGATGAGGTTACCATCGATGTCGTACGCCGGGAGGATGTTGAACACGTGGGTGTCGTTCATCGCTGCGGGCTCGGCCATGGCGGTCTCACCATACACAGGAATGTTCGCTAGTTGAAGACAAGGACTGAGGTCTGCAAGTAGGGAGACGTCAGTGCATAAATCCCAAGGAGAGACTACGAGGGAGAACAACACTTACCGCCATCATCACCTCCGATAAACGCATCCTTTTTCTGTAGAACAGTCAATGTCAGTCAAGGGATTCCACAGATACCGAAAGAAAGACCGAACTCACCATGAAAGCGGGTACGTGACCTTGAAGGACTTGTCGTTGTTCAAAGCACCTTTGAAGACCACACCAGGAGTGGCGACGGCATTGGCGAGCTTCATGATGTGGTCATAAGAAATGTTCCAGTGAGCTGCAAATGGAGCAGCGTCGGAAGCTATCAACGTCGCGGTGCCCTTAGCGTCTGCGAGGCTCTTCGTGAATGGTGTCGGGTTGCGATAACCAGCGTCCGGCTGGAGATAGAAGCGAGTGTTGCTGAACTGACCGACGAGGGTGATGACGGCGCCATCGGTCGAAGGAGAGTTGGCGGCCCCTTTAATGACGAGGACGTCGAGGAACGAGCGGCGCTGCCAAAGGCATTGTCCCTCTGTATTGAACGACTCATTGCCGACGTACGTGAACGATCCTTAAAGGGCCTGCACCGCATCGGTGAGGTCTGCACTGGTACTAAGCAACACGGCCCCATCATGTTAGTAAGCAAACAAACACTACACGAGTAGGTAAAGAAGCATATAATGTGCAATGCTCACGTAGAAGTCTGCACAGACGTATCCGCACCCCCGGCCTGCTCATGAACCCCTCCCTCGCGAAAGCCTTCAGTGGCGACCTCTATGACTTTCCTACTCAAAAATCATCAGCAACCAGCTCAAAGTTTGACAGTACTGGACATAGATACACACCGGTCGTTCGCATGGCTTGCAAGGAGAGAAGCAGAACGCCAGGCGGCAATACCCAAAAGGGGACGTTGGAGGCTGCAGAGCCGATGAGAGCAAAAACAGAGGGAAAACGAGAGAAAAGAAGGTCATCAAGGGTAGGCAGTGACATTGAACATCCACGATCAAGGCTAGCAGTCAGATTCATGTCAACACGCGCCACCGACAAGCGCCACACAAGTTTGTTTGCACATGTTTGTTTTTGGCACCGGTTTTGCAGGTTACCAGGGTGCGAAAGACCTTGTAGCAAGGTAACAAGAAAAAATCTAGCTCCCGCATTTCGAGTCCTCTCGAGATGAAACTCAGCAGAACATATGCTCTCTACATTAGCTACATGTCCGTACAAATTTCTACGAGAAATAATGGGAGGAAGGTAGTTGTTTGATGAGCGGGATCCATGTTCGGACAGCCGCGCCCGCCAAAGTGTCCGAACCGACCCCCTCCCCGTTCGACATCCCGCTGCCACAACTGCATCCACACGACTGCGGATATGGTCTGTAGACTATTTAACATGATTTATGAACCTTTGAACTGGGCGAAACGGTGCAGTATTGGGCGAGTTCTCGGACTGTCCGAACATCGGTTTTGTCCGAACATAGGGCCACTGATAGTATTTGTCCAACCTTCCGACAATACCGTGACTTCCACCGAAAGTTCATGCTTGAAGCACTGCCTGCACGCAGTTAGCATTTGAACATTCAATGATTGTTTTGCGATAGAAGGTGCGTGTGTCACTTATTTCGGACGTTCAACGGCCTGCAACAGCTCATAGAATGGCATTCGGATGCCCAGTACTGGTTTCGTGTTCAACTCGAAATAGCCCGTTCTCATGGACGACTGGGCAAAGCTCAAATTGTGACCATGGCATAGGGCCTAGGGCCTGAAGATGACACAGTCTAATATCATATTTTACGCTACCACAAACCATCGAGTACTGTGACCCGAAGGTTTTTGGCTCCCGTGCTCAAAGTAATGCACAGTTGTTTTATGCGCCACGAACTGTTAAGCACTTTGGCCCGAAGGTATTTTAATGGTTTGGCCCCCGTGCACCGTTGACAGAGATGCATTTGGCTCCCGTGCTTGAAGCTGTTTGACTCTTATGCTCGAAGGTTTTTGTCCCCATACTCAGGGATGTTTGACTCCCCGTCTTTCATCTGCAGTATGTACAGAGACTTGAATTATTTTGAGGCCCAAGTCTCGGAGCCACACTGGAGGCACAGCAATGTTCGCCACACAGTTAAGGCAGAGGCCATCCACGGCGGCGGAGGCTACTTTCCGGACACCCCAAACAGGAAACGGAACGTGATACTACAAATAATGACATAGGGTTAGGTTTCGAGGTACATGTATATAATATTAAAGCATACTCTGAATGTCAACCGATTCTTTGTGTTCGGGTTTGCGACCGGTATTGGGTGAAGGAGTTCAGATTAATAAAGCATAGTGCCTGTTAGAGAATAAAAGCAGATTATGCCGAACAGGATACTATAGTCATTCCGGAGCTTTGTGTTCCGAAGCCGGTATAGGGTCCCCAGTGTTGAGCAGCGGAGGGTTAACGTAGTGGTACCGCTCTACCTGGAGTAAGGCTTGGGTTGAGTGGCTTGATAGCACGCAGTGGTTGGAGAGGCGAGATAAGTAGTTGAGATTACAGGGCGAATGCCCAGGGGTTTATATACATGCAGAGCGTACAGCCTTAAGTAATACTATACAGCTGGACGCGTGGGAGCGAAAGAACAATAAGAAATAATAGTGTTGCGTCATGTGAATACAAGCCGGACCGGCGGGCATAGCCACCGTTCAACACTCCCCCTCGCTGAGCAGCACATAAAGTGAGCTCGAAGCGTAATCGGAAAGGTGTCTATGAAGACGACCCAGAGGTAGAAGGCGAGTAAAACTCAAGCCCAAGTTGGGAACGGAAGGGTTCGAACTTTACGCG